TCTTATCCACTGAAATTACCCCAATGCTTTTTTTGAGATAAAACAAAGACTAATATTATGTTTTCAGCCTGACACAACATCTTTAAGCCTGACTGCGTTTACTTATGTGTCCTCCGTGTCACAAATGAACCCCCTTTGCTCTACAAATCCCTTAATTTCCAGAGTTATTTTTTTTTCAGTGGCGGGGTGGCCACGCATACTGTAATATCCAGTGTTGTATTTGGCTTTCCTATGGATCCAAGTAAAAGACAAACACTGTACTTTGGTTCATTTATTCATCTGGAATTGCTGGTGAGGTCTTTATCTTGACCTTGAGAGCGGGGGAATAAATCACGTGACTAAACCGTGACATGGGAACATTTCGAAGAGTGACGGCGGCGCGTACAAAGTACACAGCGATTTGGAAGTCATTTTAAGCAGCGGTGCCAAGTGTCATGTAGTACGAAAAAAATCATCTCTCACCCACTTTCCGTAATTGCTACTGTGGCTTTGTAGTAAAACCAAAACAAAAAACTGTCAGCGAAGTATATACAGCGGACATTCTGTAGGTAGAGCGAACATAACTGATACTGTTTTGTGCCATCTTTGCTTGCATCCTTATTTTCAATGTAGGAGATGCGGAAAATTAATTATACATTCCTTACATCCAGATAACGCAGTAGCATAGATATTAGCAAGTGTCACAACACATTTAGAGGTGACATAGAAAAGACGCACATTAATGCAGCTCTGTATTCAGTTATACATCCTTAAAGGTGAACTCCGGGAACAAAAACATTAATTTGAAATATATTCCTCAATAGTCACAAAGGATATAAATCCACTTATTGTTTTACCAGATGCCTTTGCAAACCCAGATAAAGTAGTAGCGACATTGTCACTGTGCTGCACATAGACTGTGCAGGGAGCAGAGTTGTAGGAGGGGCTGATCAGGCCCCACCCACTACAGGTTGCCTGCAGACAAGGCCATTCACTCTTATGAAGACAAGCTGTAGTGCCCGGATTTCAGCTGTAAAATAGACATATAGCCAAATCTTTTTTTGTGGCATTAGTTCTTCTTTGGGTCACAGGAGGACATGTGCTTATGTATTGCTGTCACCCAAACTTAGCAAATAGCAGGCTGCTGCCCACTATATGCTGAGAGTGCAGAGCCACACTGCAGCCGGAACGGATCCCGACAATGTTATTGTGACCCAGCCCCCGGACTGATTGACAGATGCTTATGCCTCTCTAGAGCCAGAGCCAGCTGTGCCCGCCCCCTTCCTGTCTGTCCCTTCAAAGAGCACTGGAGGAACAGAGAAAGGGGAGAAGTCATGAGCTGAGCGATCAGTGGTTTGTTCTCGAGCTATAGAGCCGACTAGTGACAGCTGCAGAGTCACATGCAGCTCAAACTATTCGGAAGATTACATTTTATTCTCCAATAGTTCTCCTTTAAATGTATTTTTAAATGCAAGCAGTATAAGCACCTCAATTTGACTTGGTGTCAGCCAATTGCAGTCCCTGTATAGGAGAGCTCAGACCGGGGGAGTGAGAAGCAACTAAAGGAGCCAATAAGTTGTTCTGCAATAGAAGGAGCATGCTGATAGGAGGAGAAAGCAGAGTTACAGATGAGCTCAATAGTCTGCTGCTTCTCCTTTCATTGTCCAGTCACAGCCTGGAGGTGGAATGGGGAGGAAACGTGTAAGTGCTACTAGAATGTGGTTCCTTTCCATGCCAGGGAGGACTGTACTGTGTTGCAGAACTGTGTAAATCTCAGTACAGGATGTAAAGAAGTACAAACCCCCTGGCAGGTAAAACAGTTGCCCTATGAGTATTTTATCTGTGCATTTGTAGCTGTTTGCCTGAAAATCAGATTTCAAATAAAACTCTGTCCACAAAATAAATTCCTGTGTTTTGGGTTAAGTTCAGTAGCGTTCGCTTTCCACTGGGTCTGCTCTGTGGAATTCCAATTGGACAGATCTGTCAAACCCCCTTTGTTTTGCATGTCACGGGAAAACTTGGAGGGTTATTCCCAAAGCTGCCGAAGGCAGCCACATGAATAACCCACCCGAAGTGAAGTGAGCCGAACAACGTTCGGCTATTCACTTCAGGATTGTACTACTGATTTCAGCCGTATATCGGCTTGCTTCAGCTGGCTTCAGTTCGGCCGAACATGCTTAGCAAGTTCGACTGAGCTGAAGTGAAGAAGGAGTACGACTAAGCCGGCATTTGGCTCGGAATAGAAAAACAGTGAAAAAAAAAAGTAGCAAAAAAATGCTTACAAATGTAAATCAATGATACATTTTAAAAATTAAATAAAGATTTTTAAAAAAAGAAAGATTATTGAAAAAAGAAAAAAAAGAAACAAACAATTGGGCAGAGCTAGCAGTGACAGCTAGCTCTGCCCAACTGTTTCCTATTGCCTGGGACCTGCTGGAGTCTTCTAGCAGGTCCCGGCCAATGAATAACAACTGGGCGGAGCCGCTCTGCCAAGTTGTCATTGTTTAATGACAGTTCAGCTTCCCCAGGTCACCTGGGGATGCTGATCTGTCATTGCAACTAGGCGGAGCCAGCCGTGAGATCACGGCTGGCCCCGCTCAGCTGTCAGTTGCGAGGCTTTCGGCCGGCTGTTCTCCCTGCTTTGGGTTTCACTTCGGGTTTCACTTCGGTACAGTCGAGCCGAAGCATATGCCTTTGGCTCGGCCAGCTTCGGAAGTCAATTGCTGAAGTTAGATCTCATTCTGCTGCATTCCTATAGATCATCCACTAGAGGGAGCCCTCCATGCGAGAGAGATAGAGAGAGAGAGAGAGAGAGAGAGAAATGCCTGGCACTGTGCCCATGTCTATGTGTCTATATAATGGACCAAACCAATGTTAGCAAACGCAGATAGCCATTCCCCTCTGCTTTACAAGGGGAGGATGGGAATGTCCATAGGCTGAAACGAAAATGCATTTTATAAGGATTAGCTCATGTCTACAAAATATGTAATGTCCTGTGATGTGTTCATACATTTACAACTGTCATAAAACCTGCTTTCAAATTCTAAGTCAGGAAGCAAGGGGTACATAGTCTGCTCCTTCACCTGTTGTCTGGCTCCACCTGTTGACTTCTTACAGTTACTATGTCTGCTGCACAGAATACACTCTGCAAAGACATCTTCTCTCACTGACGAGGGTTTCATTCTGTCTGCTGATTTCAGTCAGTGGTTGAGTCCACTGTATCAGGGCCACTATGCAAAACCACCTACATTGTGCACACCTGGAAGGGCCACTATGTAGTGACAAGGTGTGCACTTGCGCACCACTTTTGCCACTCAGCCCCATTGATTTCAAAGTGGTCATATCCTGCACCTTTTTGTGTGCAGGACGTGTTTTTTGCTGCCACGATTGTGTCTGTTTGCACACACAGAAACACAGTGGAAAACCGCGCAATTTACCGGAACGTTTGGGGTGCCATTAGGAATAAATGGCACCACAAGCGAGTTTTGCAAAACCCAGCAAATTGGCACGCGTTCTCGGAACGCCCAGGTGTGAGCCAGACCTTAAAGAAAGTAGAACATTAACAGACTTACTGGCCGGATCACCAGGAGAAAATATATACAAAAAGAACACTAGCGCAGCCCCCACATTTAGGGCTTGTTCACACCAGTTGCGGTACGTTCCAGAGTGGTAGGGGCGTGGCTGCGGTGCCATTGTCTACAATGCACCGCCACGGCCCCTCCCGCCCCAGAATGCAGGGGAAGTCTTGTGAGTGAGCAAGCCCTTAGAGATTGGTAAGCAGCAACATGTTACATTGTTGCCTTTGGGTTTAGACATTCTTTAAATAATTGAACACAGGTGATAATGAGGGTGTTTGATGCAATTTGAAAGAACTCTTGGGCACCATTCACATTGATGTGTGCAGCAACGTACACATATTAACACACACATTTTCTTTACCTAAGTCATGTTGTCTTGAGGCAGCTCATTTATTTTGAAGGCGCTGTCAATGTACCTCAGTGCACTAATAAAAATAAATTGCACTATTTTTGGCAACACAGCACACCACCACGTAAAAAGCATTTGCATCTGTTCTATCACACAGTTACATCTCTCTTTGCAATATATATATATGGTTTGCAGTGCCATTCAGAACATGTGTTACTGCAATGCACATATGTAAATGAACCCTTAGGCTTTGCTGAGATCTACATATTACCAAATGGAACAAAATTGTCAGTTACTGTAAGAAAACTGCAGCAAAAAAAAAAAAAAGAAGGAAAAATTGGCCTACAAACCAGCTAGATCTATTCCTATGTCTGCAATCCAATGCATTACAGAAAATGCTGTTTTGTTTGGCCAACAGAAATGTCTGCGCTGTAACACACACATGCATCTCACTAGCTGCTTGTTCCAAGTCAGTGGACCAACAGTAATTAGCATAGCAAAGATGAGAATGATCACCACAAAGCTTAAACCTTCAGCATTGACAGCTTCAATATGTCTATCCTGACAATTTCACTTTCCTACAAGTGATGTTTCCTGACATCTATAAAGGATTCCTGATTATTAACAGTGAAAAGTATTTATTACATCCCACTTGGTGCCTGCATCCTTTCTACTTTGCCCTTTTCAGAGTCTTGTGTGCACTGGGTGAGCCCCCTCAACGCTCAGTGATCCCTCATCTCCAGAAAAAAAAAGAGAATGCAAACAAGTGCAGAAAAACAACCATAACCATAAGTAGATGACCTAAAGCTTTAAAAACCACAAGTCTCATCATGACTTTATAGCCTTAGCCAAGGCACGCTGGCAAGTGTAGATCCACAGAGACAAGCAGACAGTCTTTATCAGATATTAGTATATATCACAGAAAAGCATACCCATCTTGTTTTGTTCTGCATCCCTCTATGCATCTCACCCACCCGAACGGAGAAAAAAACAACAAATCTTTCAAGATTTCAATTTGTACCAACGCTTTCCGTTGCCTGATACGTGCTTTTACCCTTCATAAGTCAGAAAGAAGGTGAAAGTTTAAAGCTAACCTGCTGCGCTGCTGTCTTGCTCGTTCTCTGACATCTTGTTAAATAAAGTTTCGCCACCTTTCCTGCCGGAATCCTTTGCTGAAATGCTGGAATAATTCCCAGGCTGTTTCTTCAACACCGGTGAGCGTAAACTTCTCTCAAGTTCAGCTTCCTGTGAGCAGATATAAAAGGCATGTTTGCTGAAAGTTATCAGAAGGAAACAGATACAATTTTTCCTAGGGGTGTCTACAGTAAATGACAGTTCTAAGTGTAAGTCTCCAGTTTTCTGGAAACTGCGCGGCACACGGGCCCAATTATACCGTGCAAGCAGGCTTATTGAACAGGTCAAAGAGCAATGTGCTAAGTGCATTAGCCTACAGTAACCAATCTGACTTCAGTAAGGTTTACATCAGCTTTGCTCTTTGCTATGCCTTCCAGAACACATTTTAATAATGTTTAAAGTAAGCACATCATTAGAAAATATTGTGCAAAACAGTATGCAGGCACTTATAATAGGCACCAAAAGCTGCTTCAATGTAGTCTCTGCATTTCACCCTCAGCAGACTCGAGAACCTCCAACCTTAGGGCTAGTGCAGCATGCAAAAAATGGCTTGTTAGCAAACTATATCACAGGTACATGCCAGCATCCTATGAGAAGTTTTATCTCCTCAGTGGCCTATTAAGAGGCTTCCATACTATGCTGGGTAAAGGTGCCCATACACTGTACGATTCTCGTACGAGAATCGCAGGAAATTGCAATAATCGTATCGTACAGTACGATAATCGTACAGTGTATGGAAGGCGTGCAACCGTTTCCACTGTATGGTCGCACGTCTTCCGTCGAACAAGCAGGCTTGAAAACCCGCCGAGAATCGTACGATTCTCGGCGGGTTTTCAAGCCTGCTTGTTCGACAACTGCCGAACGGGCCGGTGTGCGCACGTGCACACTGCCCGTTTGCAGTGATCGGAAAGCCCGCCCCTCACTGCCGTCATCGGAAGCCCGCCCCTTAGCGGGGCGGGCTTTCGATGAACGCAAGTACGATCTGCCTGTCTAAAGGTGCCCATACACCTTACGACCATCGCAAGACTTATTAAAAGCTCGTAGATCTGCCCATCTTGGACAGGCAGATCGTACTTGCAAGGGGAGGGCTTCCGATGACGGCAGTGAGGGGCGGGCTTCCTATCACTTTCCGGCCCGTTAGGCAGTTGTCGAACAAGCAGGCCACTAACCTGTTTTCAAGCGGAAGACGTGCGACAGTAGAAACGGTTGCACGCCTTCCATACACTGTACGATTATCGTACAATCGCTGGATTTCCCGCGATTCTCGTACGAGAATCGTACAGTGTATGGGCACCTCAAGATGGGCAGATCGTACAAGCTTTTAATAAGCTTACGACCATCGCAAGACAAAATTTAGCAGTATCTGCATTTGTATATTGCATATACCCAAGGTTCAAGAACTCCTAGGGAACAATGATGCTAAAATTTGACAAGAGGCTTTTTAATGGCACCTTAAAGTAAAACTTTTCCTGTGCTATGCACACTAGTGCATTTACATATTCTGGACAACCTGTAAAAGGACTTTAATACAAGCCCTCATTCACCTCTGTAGCTATAGGCATCATGATGAAATTAATCTTCAAAGTTCACAACAGAGGCACTGAAATCTTAGGGTTTTTTTCCTATTTGTTTTTATTGCTGCAGAATCTTGGTATCGTTACAGCCCTCTAATGTAAACACACAGCAGGTGTTATTACACTGATAAAAATTGACTGCAAGCCCACTTTGTTGTGATCTTTGAAATTATATTACTTTACAGCATATGCGGGTAGAGAGGTCAGTGATGGTTTGAAAGCTCTCTTACTGCTTGTTAAAAGAGAACTATGGGGTAAGTGTTTTTCCCCATAGTTCTCTTTAGGGTCACTGGAGGTCATATACTAACCTCCTCCCGAGACCCAAAGCTCAGTAGCCAGTGATATACTAAGAGCGCTGCAGCCAGGACGGATCCCGACAATACTGCCCAGATCCACCCAGCAGCATGAATGACAGCGGACTCTGTCGTCTGTCGTTCCTCCACTCAGAGCCGGAGGATTGGAGAGGGGAGGGGAGATTCCCTGCAGGGAGCGGTGACTGACAGTTACTGCTCACTGCAGGGAGACAATCGGGAAGTGAGCGGATTGGCTGCATAATTCTGCTCACTTCCCAATAAATAGAGCCGACCTGTGACAGCTTCTTTGTCACATGTCGGCTCTAACTATGAGGATGAGTGGAAATCACTCACCTCACAGTTCTCCTTTAAGCATATGTAAATACCTTATGGTAAAATCTGTATTTATTGAGATGCAACAAAGTTACATACAGACATATAAAAAAAAAGTGTGACTAGATATTACATTATGATGGCTGACAGTAGGATGTAAGTAAAACAAATAAAAATATCTGCGTCAAATAGATCAGATGTAAATACTGAAATGTCCTCAGTCCTCGACAGGTGCACTTTAAATGTTACTGGTCAGGGTAGCTGTCATCATTTTCCTTCCTTTACTACACAGAGAGTCACTGATCTGGAACAAACATATAGCCGGTGAAATGTCAAGATACTTGATATTCACATGCATGTTCTAGGTAAATGACTCACTAACTATAGAAGTGGGGACATAGAACATATTTAAATCATCATATAAGCATCATACAAAAAAAGTAATTTTATCCTTTAAAAAGACTTTTCTAGAATTTTCTTTTGAATATAACATCTAAAATGCGTATTTTTTGGTTCTGCTGTATCCAGAATTATAGGTGTGGGTGACCTTTTTATATGATTCATTATACCAGTAGGCTGCAGATCCAGGGAGCACCATGAGCCATCTTTTATGGACAATTAATAGTGAACTAAGTATCAGAATCTAGAGTTTGCATCTTGAAAAACAATCCAGCAGTGGCAGCTCCATTAAATCCATCCTGGCATATGCCCTTTAAGGTGCCTGCTTATGCACAGTTATGTTCCTTCAGCACCTTGGAATGCCTAATATGTATTGATCTGCGTATTTCCACCTGTCGTATATAAATACATGGGGCAGTTTAAACATGTATCTGTTAAATAAATACTGGTCTGAAAATAATGCACACAAGCTGTTATATTTGCTCAGTGTGGTCTGTCTAGACTTAGGCGTTTAAGTTCTATTGCCATTATATAGCTTATTCGAATATCTCTTGAGATCTAAATCTGTATACTAGCTGGGAGATCAATACTATTTAAACCAAAGTGATTTATTGTTTGTATTACTTTTTATCCTGTCCTATTTGAGAAATCCATTCAATTTCATATGTTTTTGTATTATAATTTGGATTTTCTCATGAAGAATTTCAAAGAGTCTGGTGGTGGTCAGCATATTTACATTTACTTTGAGATTCCTTCACATGCCAGGCATTGCAACTAAATCAACCCAGCCAAATTGATAACACAGCCTGCAGTATGTGATGGCAGTGTGCATCTCTGACTCACCCAATCTATCCCAAGAGCACATAGGGGTCGTTTTATAAACAATTGAAATGGCTATTTGCCCTGTGAATATCTGTGAATGTTTGTTTTGTGTGAATAATTAAAAAAACTAACATTTTTAATATATTTTATTTTTAGGGTTAATGTATTAAAATGTAATACTGCATTATGGCAACTAGATGGAGCCTAGGAGGATAGGAAATAAATATTTATTTCCTATGTTCATCTGCTCCATCTAGTGGTCATAATGCAGTATTACATCACTTGTACAAAACAAACATTCACAAATATTTGCAGGGCACTTAGTTTTGTTTATAAATAGACCCCCAAGTATCATGTTCAGTCACAACATGCATATGGAAACTAGTGGCCACATTTAAAAATATGTAGACTCCTGACTTTTTTTGTGAGCTAGCAGGACCTAAATTACCAGATTTTCTTTCTTTTGAATCTTGGGCAGGGAAGCCAGACAGTAGTTCTATGTTGTCACCAAATCATTATCGGACCTTTTCAGAGACAATTTTTGCCCCTGGCATGCACCCACTTGAGAAATTGAACTGACTTCTATGGTATGTCTTTTTCCATTCACCCAATGAGCATATGCATTACCGTGTTTCCCCGAAAATAAGACGCTGTCTTATATTTTTTTGGGCTCAAAAAAACACACTAAGTCTTATTTTTGGGGTAGGTCTTATTTATTTATTTTTTTATGCACAACACTTCAATCCACACTTATTCATGTACAACAGTCTACATGTATTCATGTTCAAAAATATGGTGATCAGGGCAATCAGGGGTGCCGTACCTTTCTAAGAACAATTTGCTAACCAATCGCTGGCCAGAATAAGTGAAGCGCACTTCCACTATCGATTCCTCACAGGCGGAGTGCATTTGGTATCACTCCGCCTGTGACAGGAGCCGGCGCTATAGAGGAGGCATCAGCTCATGTGGCTCTGCTTCCTCTAGCGCTGGCTTCGTTGGGATCGCTGATTCTCTCCTGCCTCTTCCGCAGCTCTTCAAGTTCCCCCCTTAAGCCACCACCGGCACTGGGAATGGTCACAACTAGGTCTTATTTTCGGGGTAGGTCTTATATTTTAGCACTTCCCAAAAATATTACTAGGTCTTATTTTTGGGGTAGGTCTTATTTTCGGGGAAACAGGGTATTATTATTACAGGTATTTTATGTAGCACCATCAATTTACGAGGCGTTCACATATTATTCATTCACATCAGTCCCTGCTCTCAAGGAGTTTACAATCTATAGTCCCTATCACACAAGCATACATGCACACACATACTAGGGCCAATTGAGGCAGAAGCCAGTTAAACTACCAGCATGTCTTTGGAGTGTGGGAGAAAACCTGAGTACCCGAAGGAATCATGCATGGCTTTGCCTGGCCAAAATTGGAGAAGTTGCTTTATTTATTTCTTTGTATTGTTTTGTTGGTCCTTTTTGTCTTTTCTTCCTTCAAAATACTCAAGAGAAAAAAAAAAATTGGAGAAGTTGGTCAGGCCACATTCTACATATGCATATTGAAAAGGCAAACATTGGATTCAATGGTAGTGAATTTAATATGGGTACGTGAGGATGTCAGGTGTCATCTGTGTGGTTT